TGGTTCGTTACTAAAATCATCTCGGGGAGGACGAGGTGAATCACGGCGAGGAGATTGAACCCTCCGAGGAGAACGTGAGTCGCGACGATCGCGACGAGGAGTTAATCTGAAGGAAGCGACAGATCGAGCTCCCTCGGTGCTGCCATCATCAACCAGCAAGGTTCTACTGTAGTCCTTCTTGTCTATAGAAGTCGCGAGGAACTTTTTCTTCTCCTCGCAAGCCTCAGCCATCGGCTTGGAAAGCAACTTACGCTTGGCCGCAAGGGCCCGAGATGACATTCCCTGAGTTGAAGGAGGGGGAGGAATTTGGTGAAGATGACTAGGCGGACTCATCCTGAGTCTGTGGTTAGCTTCTAGGAATCGTTCAAGAGTGAAGGAATTCCAAAGGGTTTCCCCTTCAAGAATTATTTTGAAGAATTCGATGAACTCTTCAGATGGGAGGTTGGAAGCGATGAAAGCTGCGAAATGAAACAACGGTGTTAGTCAATAAAGATAAAGAAACAACCGGGAAAGATACGGGCAACCTAATCACTACCGGGTTTCGCAGACCACTTCGAAGGGAGAAAATCAGCGAGATTTCCAATCGAAGCGGGGGTTTTCTTAATTAGAAACCAAGGATGATGCCAATTTTCATCCTTGTTCGGAAGATGTGAAATGATGTTCCTGTTGGCATTAGGATATGCTGAGAAATATCCCGTTTTCTTCGATGAACTTCTCACGCTCAGAAGCTCATTTAGTTCAGTAACTCCGATAGCATAACCGGCCTGCGCCGCAATTGTTATAATTCCAAGAATAGTACGGAGAAGATTGGGGGTCAATTGAGGAAGAGCGATTTCAAGAGCCGCTAGGTATAGAACTAGGGCTTCGGGAAGAGGAAAGGTCAGCCCGCAACCCTTGAAATAAATCTCATACACACAGAAGTAACCATCGCGATGGTTCTCTGGGGATTCTGTGGGGGAAGCTATTTGTGCTTCCGCCATAATTTCCGGCGGAATCCGGCAAAGCTCTTTCAACCGCTCGAGGGATTGAAGAGTACAAGTGGACCTATAGTGCAGACCGGCAATATCATCAGAGCGGGTGCACTCGTCGTTGCTAGAACGTCTCTCATCAAAAGACGGAGACTCGGGTCTATCGGAATCGGAAGTCATTGGGAAGAAAGAAAAATTCAAGATCCGGCGAAGAAGGGTTTTGGTGAAGGAACGAAGAGAGAGGTTTTGATTAAAGTACAAAAGTAAAAGAAGAGAGTAATGGTGAAAAGAAGTTAGCTCAAGCTAATGATGAAACCGCCTCAGAAGTCGTGTGGGAAGTGGGAAGGTTTTTCCCGTTTTAATAGTAATTAATCAATATACGGTCATAATGATGACAGATGTCACTCGGTTAAAAATGGCTAGTGCCAAAATTAAAGGAGTGATGAGATTTTCGGCGGGAAATCAGAAAGATTCTCGAGCGCAATCTTTGGCCACTTGAGCATTTAAAGTCCTCCGAATTGGAATAGCACTTCGAAGAACTTGGGGGGCTAATTGTTGGTGTCGGATCCCGCACCAGAAGTACGAGACCAACCAAAGATTGCCACGTAATCAAGATAATGGCCCATAAAGGATGAAGCCCATTGGACCCGTGGGCCGAAGGGACGGTCGAAGTGGTTGTCACCATCTCGAGAATTTCGAAGTGACTGCACTGAGACACGAGTTCGGTGTAGAAGACACGGGTAAGTCGGTTTAAGGACACTTGGGCCAAAAGAGGCGAGGCCCATGAAGATCAGAGTCAACTCAAATTCAAACGTTGAGCATTAAAGCCGAAGAATCAAAACGGACACATTTAAGAAGAAATAATTGTACTTAATTACTCATTTTAATGTCGTTCACCTATGTATAAATATAGAGGCCAATGGCCATGTAAAGGGGATCTTCCTCTCAAGAGAGAAATACTATAGCAATTTTCGTATCAATTTATAAGTTTTTACATATTCATTTTTGTCCCTCAAGAATAATCTTTCCCACTTAAACAAAATACTTGAGTGTATGAATCCGACATCCACAAAGAGCTCCACGTCCATGGCATCAAAGAGGAGAATATATCACCTTAATGACACAATCAAGAGACTTAAATCTCACGATTAAGTCAAAAACGTTTTTGACCCTAATTGTCTCAATTGAGTACACACAATCATTAAGGTAGATATTTTTGATTTAATCACTAATTTAAATCAAAATAAATTTGGGAAAATAAAATAATTATATGGGTTGTAAGCCCATTTCCCAAATTTCAAATCTCAAATCCAACCCATGTATGTTTGGATTTCTCCTTTAACTTCCAAAGTATACAATTTTGACTTTAAGTCAAAATTCCAAGCTAAGCAAGCAAGTTACTTTGGACCTCCATTTCTTATTCAAACGAACTCCGTTTTTGACATTTCAATACACCATCACGCGCGTAGTGCTCGCAGCAGCGATTCCATCGTGCCCAAGAACCGGTCATTCCGATGATTGTCTTCACCGGAAAATCCACCGTAACAATGGTCAAAACCATTTTGTCAAAAACAAGTTCCAACATATTCTGGATCCAAATTAACTATATATATATATATATATATATATATATACATTAAGCTTCGATCAAAATCATAATATATATTTTGTTCTTGGTAAGCAATGTAAGCTTGTTAGATTTCTTCAAGGAATCCAGCACCGTTCATCAGTCAAAAATGCAGTCTAGGCATGTGACCTACGACGTAGTTGGTGGCACCAAATCAGTTCCTTACGTGAACCGGACGAATGATATTTCGCACGGTTCCATTAACAATGTTCAACCGAAACACTGGAAGATGATGAGTGTAAGGAAGTTGATGATGTACAACATCAGGGATATGTGGAATCTCAGCTGCACTCATGAGGTCAACGTATTTCACATGTCTCTCCATTTGTTCCCACCTACATTGCCTTTGTGGATCGACCTTTGGTGGGATGAGACCGCGATGCTCATTTTTCAAGTGCTTATCAAGTTGAGAATAAGTTCCGGAGAAATTGCAATCATCGATAAAAACAAGACCTCGGTGTAGCATTCATGAATCTACTTGCAGTGCTTGTCACTTTTGTTGTCTCAAAGACTTCTCCTCTACAAAGAGGGCAGTTTGAGGTCTTGGTACTTGAGCGCTTCTTCTTGTTCTTTTTACGGAACTGCTTGAAACAGTTGGAGTGACGAGCACTTGTGTCACACATATAAGGACGATATCCATTAAGGGAGGAAGAATATTAGGGAGTTATATGTAAATATAGTATAATTCCTAGAGTTTTATGTTAATATCCTTAAATATGTTTAGGGTTTCCTGTAACATGTATATATACTCTTTCTTTGATATGAATAAGACAACTTTTCTCTTTATTCTCTTATCCCTTTGGCATGGTATCAGAGCTAGGGTTTTAAGAAGAAGATCAAACAAAGGGAGAAAGAGAAGAGATTATGGCTGACGGGGAGAACAGCGGAGGAGGAGAGCTCGCGTTCAGCAAGAAGGCTGCGGAAGGCGGCGGTGGAAGTGGACTCACGGTGGCGGAGAAAGCTATGGCCTCTCCACTTTATCTTCATCCTTCTGATGGACCAGGTAATTTGATCACTACTGTTCAATTAAAGGGAGAAAACTATGAAGATTGAGCTAAGCATGTGCGGAACGCCTTGCGAACGAAACGGAAATTAGGGTTTATTGATGGGACTGTGGAGAAACCTACCAAGGAGGATGAGATTGAACAGTGGGAAGTGGTTAATTCTATGTTAATTGCTTGGATTATGAACACGATTGAGCCGACTCTCAAGACATCGATTTCTATGGTGGATGAAGCTCAAGCGTTGTGGGAAGATTTGAAACTTCAATTGTCTGCGGGAAATGGACCAAGAATCAGTGAGCTTAGGGCTGACATAGCAAACTGTAGACAAAACGGGGATACAGTGATGGTGTACTATGGAAGACTTAAGAAGATGTGGGATGAATTGGCAATTTACAAGCCTATTCGATCATGTAGTTGTGGAGAATTGGCTGCTCAGTTGGAAGAAGATCGTAATGAAGAGAGAACCAATACCTTCTTGAATGGTTTAGACTCTACGAAGTTTGGTACGGTGCGTTCTACTATCACAAGTATGGAGCCCCTGCCTAAGCTCTCACAAGTCTATCAAAGGATCATTCGAGAAGAGAGACAACTCACGATCACTAGGAATCGTGATGCAACTCCGGAGGCTGTAGGGTTTGCGGTACAAGCTGCGCAACGAGGTCAAACTTCAAATTTTTATCGCGAGAAGGACGTGACATGTACTCATTGTGGTAAGTATAGGCATGCAAAGGCTGATTGCTTTCAGATAATTGGCCTTCCTGAATGGTGGGGAGAACGGGGTCGTAACTACAATGATCGCGGTAGAGGTGGACGTGGAGGCCGGTTTGGCCGTGGAGGTCGGTTTGGACGTGCTCGCGGGTCTGGTGGTAGGGCCAATGCGGTCACGGGTGTTCAGGCCAATATTGTTGGGGGCATACAAGCTAATTCTACAAGGACATCGGCTGATTTGGACCGTCAATCTCTACCCAAAATGAGTGATGATCAATGGAATGCTCTCAAGAGTCTCTTTGCTTCTCAAAAGTCAAATCCTAATGAGAAGTTGAATGGTAAGAAAGAATGTGTTGATTTTATTATTGATACAGGAGCATCACACCATATGACTGACGATCTAGACTACTTGTCTAATGTGATGGATACTAATCCATGTATGATTGGACTACCCGATGGGGATCAATAACAGAGAAACAAACATCTTTCTATTTATTTTAAAAAAAAGTCCCTAACTATGTAATTTTACAAGATAAACCCTAAAATCTATTAAAATAGATATCAAACCCAGATAGAAATTTGTAGAGACAAAACCGGTTCAATAGGACAAAAATTCTCAAACCGATTATGGTTTGGTCGGGATTTTGCTGTACAGTTTGTACTTACATCTTCATCTGACGATAGCAAAAATGACAGGCAATCCCTAATTTCGCCTCAAAAATCCCAAAAAGCTTCGTTCTTTTTTAGTCATCGTCTTCTTCTTTTCTTCTTCGTTGGTAGCTAAACCGTAGATGGCGACTTCTCTGGTCTCTCCTCTTACTTCACAGCTCAACCATGAAGCTGTCTGTTCCAAGTTCGTGCTTCCCAAATCACCGTTCATGTCGGGATCTAAGCTCTTTTCATCGAACATGCCTTGCTCTACTGTTCCTAGACGCACAAGAAGATCACACTGCTTTGCTTCTTCTAAAGATATGAGCTTTGACCATATCCCTAAACAATTTCGAGGAGACAATCTCAAAGACGGAGGTTTTCATTTTCTCTCTTCTTTCTTATCTTCTCCTTCTGATAGATTTGTTCTTAGGTTTCCAACTTTGAATTGAGTCACAAAGTTCTGTATTTTCCTTTGATTAGCTTAGACGAACTACCTGATAGGCCTTAGTGACCCATTTGTCTGCAATCATAAGTTAGGACGATGAATTAGGAAAATCGATGTAGCAAAGATTATTTCTTTGCGGGGTTTAATTCCGATTACAATACGTCGATGTTGTTCATTATCTAAGTTTGTATATCAAATCTCTGTGGGCTTTTAGTTTCTCTAATGTCTTAACCTGGACTTAGTTTAAGACACACTAATTTCAGCAAAGTGAAACTCTTTTGTTCGTGATAAGTTGTTGTCTATGTAATGGACGAATATATAAGTTTGATTGCTACAATCACGAAATTTATGCTTAGGAGAACAAATTTCGCCAAACAAGCTGATAAAATTGGAAAACTGTGTTTTCTTTAATGCTTTGTATATTTGATCTAACATACTATTTTTCTTCGCCTTTTTCTTTAGTGATGCAGAACTTCCAGACTGTACCGCAATATTTTTACGGGCTTAATCCAGCTCAAATGGATATGTTCATGACGGAGGATAGCCCTGTCCGTAGGCAAGCGGAAAAAGTTACAGAGGTTATTTTTCTCTTTTAAGCCTTCTTATCAGTCCATTCACAGTTTCAGAATTAGAAAAGCTAAGAGGCGAACAAAGTTGCTTCACAATTGAATCTTCATCAATCATGTGGCATCCATCCAGAGAGTCGAACATTTCTAAACTATGGACAACATGAACAAGGGTCACGAGTTTTGATTGCTCTTTGTGAAGAATGTGTGTATTGGGATGTGTTTGTTACTGTCCTTGTGATCTGGTTTCTGCTTCTTTGGTTTGGAATTGTCCGTTTCCTTTCCGAGAATCCTAACAAGTGTTTGGTTATGAAGTTTCAGTTAAAGCAGAGACTTGTATGAAAAATAAAGGAGTAGCTTTAAAATGAATTGTTATCTCTTCTGTTCTGGGCAGCTGAAATTGCAGAAATGCTATCTCATGACATGAAAAAGGAGGGTCTAACAGCAAGGACGTTGACACTTAAACTGAAAACTACCTCCTTTGAGGTGCTCATCTAAATTTCATTTTATTTTTCCATATATGGAATTCCATCTATGTGCTGAAAGTGTGACAATCTGCTATGCTCAGATCAGGAGCAGAGCTGTTAGCCTGCAGAGGTACACGTGTTCAAGTGATGATATACTAAAGCATGGTGCAAAGCTGTTGAAGGCGGAACTTCCTGTTTCCGTATTGTTGATAGGTGCGGCTCAATAGTGTTCGTCATTCTTCTCTCTTTAGAAACATAATATTAAATATACTAGCCCATCTACTAAAATTCCAGAATTCGTTCTATGAATATGGAGGTTTGCGCATGTCGCAGTTTGTTGGAGAAATCCGCAATTCTGATCCTTCACAGGGAACTATTACTAAGTTCATCGTTCAAAAGGATTCTTCAAGACAAGATCTGGATGATAATGACTCATTTGACTTAGATGCTAGTAAAATTGCTTAAGTAATGACGTGAGTTTATCCTTTGGTTCCCATGAGACAAGCTATGCCCATCTGAAGGATGTTGTTGAATATGAAGAACGATCCCAAATAGATTCTGAAAAGGTAATTCCAAATCAAGAATGTGTGGAGAAAGAAGAAAGGCCGCAAGTATTGGAAGGAGATGTTCTGCTCAAAAAACACAAGGAGTGCAAACCAGATACGAATCACTTGATGAATGATAGTTATAAGGTACAAAACACCGAAGCAGTTTCAGTATTTCCGCAAATGGAGCCGTTACATTGGGTTGATGGGTACAAATGCGTCTTGTGTGGGATCGAGTTACCACCATCTTTTGTAGAGGAACGACAAGAACACTCTGATTTTCATCTCGCTCAGAGACTTCAAAACGAAGAATCTGGCTCGAGTTCTTCCACAACACCTTCAAAACGAAGGTCAGCTCACAGTAACATTTTAAAGCTACTCCTTTATTTTTCATACAAGTCTCTGCTTTAACTGAAACTTCATAACCAAACACTTGTTAGGATTCTCGGAAAGGAAAAGGTAAATTCCAAACCAAAGAAGCAGAAACCAGATCAAAAGGACAGTAGCAAACACAAAGAGCAATCAAAACTCGTGAGCCTTGTTCATGTTGTCCATAGTTTAGAAATGTTCGACTCTCTGGATGGATGCCACGTGTCATCTATGTTACCTATATTATCCCATCATTTCATTTAATTATTTATCTGAACCTCTTTCAGGAACGAAACTCAGAAGAAATGAAGATGGCTCTGATTCCAGCTAAACTCAATCTCTCACCGTCCAATTCCCTGGGTGAACCCAAATCATTACCGTCGATGTCAGACATCCTGACATCATCAAGAGCTCGAAAGATAGACTTAAAGATCCAAACTTTAGGACCGTTTTTCAGAGTGACGGGGAAGAACTTAGAAACAGGCGGTGAGGTGGGAAGAGTAGAGGGAGTGGTGCGTCCATGGTTCGGACACGGCTTGGTTCTGCATTTGGATACGATAAGACTGACGAAAGAGACGGTGGCTATGGATAAATCTGTTCTTGGAGTTGGTTTATACGTCGGAGCTGTAGCTATTCGCCATGGCTACGACTGTGGTTGTCGCACTGCTCAGCTTCTCGCTATCTACGACTCCGATCTCTACCATTCCAAGGTCTCTCTCTCCATCTACTCTTTCTCAGTGTTCAAGAAAGTGCTAGACGCTAAGCGGGCGGTGACCCAGTGCCTAGCGCCTAAAACACCTAATCGGGGCCTAGGCGATTTTTTAGGCGGTTTAGACGTTTATAACATAAAACATTATAAATATGATATTATATATAAAAGTTATATAAAATATCTATATAAAACTATAAATTATGAAATTATAAACAAAAACTAAATAAAACATTTATTTATATTTATATTAAACAATATATGAATATTTATAACTATATATATAAATAAACTCTAATTGAAATTGAAAAAATACACTAAACAAGTTCTATATAATTTTAGGCGGTCAAGGCGGTTATTTAGGCGTCGCATGAGAGCCTAGCGCCTAGTCGGGGCCTAGGCGACCGCCTAGACCGTTTTTTAGAACGCTGCTCTTTCTATAGAAATTGAAATTGAGAATTTTTGTTTGTTATACCGACCGGACCAAATCTGAGAGGTGATTTGATTACATATACCATGAATTTTGGTTTATTCGGTTTAGTTTTGTGACATTTAAATTGGTTACGGTTTGGTTATGGTTTTGGTTTTGCTTTATCGGGTGTTAGAATAATAAAACCAGTCTGTAAACAAATTTCTAGTTTGGGTTGATTACATTTCGATTTGGTTTGGTTTGGCTTTTTTGGTTACAGTTTTTCTATGAAATTATAGAAACCTCAGCATACCTGTTGTATGATCGGACCAAACCGATTGAATTCTGATCTCGGTTTAACACGTGTACCAAGACATACTGAACCGAACCGAATTTCCTATGTATCAGCTGGTTAGGTTTTACAGAAGAATTGGGTTCGAAGAGGTGAAAGAAGTGAGTGGGTCATCGATTGGAGACATGGCTGACATGTTAATGTGGGGTGGAGTTGGTACTCGCATGGATGCTAATATACATCATCTCCTTCTTAAATGGTCCAAAGTTTTCCTCAAATCACATTCTTAGTTACTTGCAGATGTACCAAAGAAATTTGGGGCCCCATACGGATTAAGGAAAAAAATAGCATCCTAATTTTTTTTTGGTTCAAAAGCATCGTAGAAAAAAAAAAACTTGAATAAAAACAATCACTTTAAGCAAAACTCTTGATTGTTTTAGAAAATTTTAAAGTAAAAACTTACTTTTTTTTAATTATTCAATTATATCTAATAATTATAAAAAAATTTAGACACATAATATATACATATATAACCAAAAAAAATTTGTGGGACCCCTCAAAAAATGGGGGCCCCATTGCATAGTTTCATAGAAATTTGCTCCGGTCCAGCTCTGGATGTATATTATGTTTATCTACACCATATGATTTCTGACAAGAATTATATATTTATGTACTTATCTTCTGTCTTGATTTCAAGAACCAAACAAGAACGAAAAGCACAACAAACTAAATTCTAACAAAGACTCGGGAAAGGGTTCGTTTTCCTGGTTTCAATGTCTTATCGATGATTTCTTCTTCTTCTATAAACCCTAAAAATGAAATATTAAACTGTAGGCGATGCTCATTAAATTTTAACTTATAAAACCGATCACCGGATGACTAAGAAATTTGTTCGCATCACGAAATAAAACGCTTCGAGTTAGTGTTCGTTGCACCTTCTTTGGTTTCTAATGGGAAAGAGACAACGGAAATAAATAGAAAATTATCACTCCTTTTATAGGATCGAAATGCAAATCTACTTTGTTTGACCAAAAAAAATAAATAAATGCAAATTTACTTTCTTAGGTTAATCAAAATATTACTACTACTTGTTTAGTGACATTTAAAAAGATATAAATGAATTGAGAATATATATTTAATAATTTTTATTTAAAAAATAATATTTTTGTTTAATGCCATTAGTACATTTGTAGAAATAAAGTTAGAAGATATATGCAATAATTAAAATATTTTATTATGTTATGAATAATTATATATATGTAATATATGGATACCCATTATATGGCTCATTAGTAGGTTGTAGAAGACCTAATCTTTAACCTAAATCCTAATGTTATATCCCTATATATATATGTTGTATCTTGTACAATGCAATAATAACAGAGAGAATAATTCCCTAAAACCTCTTTGTTCACAACACGTTATCAGCACGAGTTCTATCTAACCGAATAAACCCTAGCCAACTAAACAAACACGAAACCCTACCAGTACTTGAACTAAAAGAGATTTTTGACGAAGCCCTAGCTGATTGAGTATCTTCGTTCTTTGATGTCTTCGTCTCTCCAACTCTCCCTTTTCCGATCTACATAAGTTCTCATGCTTTTAATTATTTTCTTTGATGCTTTGTTGATGCACCGAGATCGACACATGCTTAATGCTTTCAATGATTTAAACTTGACACTTATTTTTCTATTCACCGAGTGTATGTTATTAGATTCTTTTCTTGGTTTGATAATCATGGGTTAGAAAATTGATGGATATATTCGTTGGTTTCATTGTTTGGTTTAATATTCATTGGTTATCTTTCTTACACACATACTTTCATAAATTTGTTCCGGCATACCTCCATCTCGTTAGTTTGATACCATCAACATATTTATTAATCGGGTATAATATATAATAATATGCTACTGCAATTGTGTATAAAAATATAAATATACACAATGATAGATTAGTGGTCTTACATATATTCAATTAGCTAATTATTATGTATATGCGTGAAATTGTGCGGTTAGCTTAAGAATATCTATGTGTGTAAAATATATGTAAACAGAGACATATGTACTTTTATAGATAACGATTGTGTTAAATCGTAATTAATCATTGACTAATTGTTTTTTTATTTTATTTTGAAATGAAGGATTTAAGATACATGACTGACCAAGTAAGTATCACCGCCGATGTCGTCTTTATCTTAGATCTCTAACGACGATCTTTTCAAATAAAAGGATAATTATCATAAAAAGAAGACCAAATCGTAAAGAAATTGCTAAAAGAGATCTTCGACAAAATCTCTAGACTTCTCCGATCGCCAATCACTCACTATCATTAAGATAAGTACTATTTAATTTTGTATTAATCACTCACTATTATTGAGATAAGTACTGTTTAATTTTGTATTAGTCACCACGACTGTCTAATGCTCTATTAGTGAGATCCATGGTAGCTAGAATCGTTTCAGTATTTATGTTGTGATAAGTTTGGTTTGGTAGATCAATGGTTTAAGTTGGTTTAGTAAATCGGTGGTTGAGTTTTGAAATCAATTCATATGATATAGTTTACAAAT